TGCGTGCGGTGATTGTTAGACGATAATGTATGTTGTCTTTCCCCCTTCGTCCTCTTCCTGCCTCGAGGAACTGTTTTGCAACCGCATCGAGTAGGTTGAGAGCCGGCATGTTAGAGAGTTCGAGGAGGATCGTCATCAGCGTCGGCGTCATGGAGGGAAATCACTTTCCGACCTCTGTCTCTGTCCAGGGATGGTAATTACGGGCTCGGCGGCCCGTCTGCCTGTCTGCCGACGACCCCCGCCTGGCTGGCCCTTGCCGTTCGGGCATACGACTCGCCTTCACTGGATAGCTGACTCTAGCCGAACTGCACGTCAGGCTGATGAGCGCTTTCATTTCCCGCAGTGGTCGGGACGCAAAACTACGACGGTCTTCAGCGACGATCAGTGCGGACACCCCCATACGAGCGAGCGACCGACCGACCGACTGGCTGACCGTCTGACCGACCGAGCCGGCGACAGATCGACGGGCTGACAAGCCAGCGACGGACCGGATACTTCCGAGTACTCTCACTCAGCTCGCTAATGAGCACCCGTGAGTTCAGATGTCGGCGGCGAGCGGTTGACTAGCAATCGTGGATGGATGTGTAGATGGATGGCAGCCGACCGAGATGCGTTTGCATAAGCCGCCTCTCTTTCTTCCCGTTCTGGTCGAAGCTCCGCCGCTCGCTCCGACTGGTGGGCTAGGGCCCGGCGGCTCAAACTAACATTGGCGCTCGCCTATCGCCTGCCTCGTCAGGTGTCCGTCCTCCCACGCCGGGCATGTATCGCGAGCGCTGACTACGTACACGTACTACGAGCTGGCTATCACGCCTGAATCCGAGCTCCAAGAATGGAGCTGTAGCGCCGAGAGCACGATTCGGGCTCCCGCGAATTGTGCCCGCTTCCTGGGGGACGAGGAACTCTCTTGCTGTTGTCCGAATTCTGTGCGCGGAAGCATCGAGTTATCTATCCGCATCTCTTCCACGCAATTGAATTGAAATTCGTTCGGGTTCGAATAGCTGCCACCACCACAGAAGCATCAAAGCGTCTTCAAAGCCGTAAATGTCCGTACCGCAGTACCAGCGAGGAATTCGGTTCCTTCTCAGTGGAGAAGGAACGATATATAGGCGGACAAGCGGGTGCCCGGGCTGGCAGGCGGGCAGGCAGTCGGGCAAGCCGGGAAGAAGCGGGGGAGGGAAGTCATGCTGCACGGAGCTGATCGGGTGTCCTGCACGGGACATCACATTCCACTTCGAGACCATTGCCACCGCAGCAGCCGTCTCCAGAGCGACCGCCCGACTGCTCGACGCTCTCTGTGGTGAGTTCGGCTGGCTTCGATATCCGATTTCCCAAGAACAGAGGTCTACTCGCAAGCCTTTGCTGGCCGCGTTGCGTGCTCGCTGCTACTTGGACGGTGACTGGCCCACTGGTTTCCCTCGAGTCGTGGCAGGCGCCTCTCTCTTCGCCAGGCCAATCGGGGGCTCGGCAGCAAATCTCTGCGGGAATGGATAGTAGTTAGGTGAATGGATGCTTGCTTGGGTGGGCAGTTTCTCTTTCCGTCGCCAATCGATGAGCTGATGCCCCCCCCCTCCTCCCCCCCTGGTGCGGCGGGCTCCGTCTCAACACTCGAGCAGATGATTCGTCCGGAGAATTGTTCTCTACTTTTACCGATTCCTTCGTCTTCCGACCCATCCTGGCATCCACCTCCGAAGAATGACGTCTCGGCAACAATGGGCACCGTATGAAGGGTCTTCACGATGAGAACTTTGAATCATTTTCGGTTGGATCGACATGTCCCCCAACCCCGTTCAAACTGGGAAGTATGCCTAGGAGCATATCAGACACCTACCACAGAACAAAGACCCGTTCTCAACCACAGCTGACACCGAGATGAATTAGTGCTTTGGTTTCGGTCGTCGTAGGCGTTGTTGTCGACGTGGGCTCCATTGTCATTGTTTCCTGATTCGGCTTTCTTCGCGCAATTAGGATAACGTAGTCTGTTAAATGGTGACACAGTCAGACAGTGAGCCAGTCAGTCAGTCACTCACTCGCTCGCTGAGTCGCTTATTCCCGCATTCGACTGACAGCGGGGAGAAAAGAACAGCTCAAACAACTAAGTTGCTTTCGGTCCCAGTCTGGCTCCCAGCCGGACTCAGCGGTGCCGCGTGATCAGAAGCGGCGCGGCCGAGGCGAAAGCGGAAGTCAGGATCGGATTAAAAAAGTAGATCCCACAGAGCAGAGCACATCATAAAATTTCCTTCCGTGGGAATCGAATTATGGTCGATTCGTCTCCGAAAGTGGGGAGGGTCTCGATCGGTTCTTTGATGGATAATTGGATTGAAGGATCAATGAAGGTGGGGCGGCGAGGAAGACCGACATGCAGCCTACGAGCAGCAAGAGGGAAAATTTCTTTTCCTAATTTGTGTCTGCTCAGTTCCGTCGGCATCTCGATGTGGATGTTGCCACCGCTGCTCGTATAGCTGTCCTTGCCCTGGCCTATCTGCCTTTCCTCGCCACCTCATTCAATTTCGATTAGCGGAACGGAAGGACTGCTGCTGCTGCTGCACCGGCTGTTGCGGAGACGAGGGTACGCCTGTGAAAACGATGGTCGCGATCCCGATGGCTTGAGCTGCGATGGCCGTGGTCATGTAGCCCGAAGGAGTTCCTCTCCATTCATTCGGCGCAACTCCGAGAATTTTCTGTTCAGGTGTTCTCTATTCATTGCCTGGATAGCGTCAGGGGTCTGCGGTCATCGCGGAGTCCCGCAGTTTGTTCTCCGCCGCAACAGTCGTTCTTCTGCTTTCCACATTTGTCCAAGAAACAGCGTCGTTCAGGTTGCAAGTTTTTCGAATAACGTGTTTCCCGGCCTCGAACCGTGGGGGTTAGTCTTGGAGAACGTTGCATTGCATTAAATAGGAAGGATCATTCGGAAAAATCCTTTTTTCCCAACTCCACGAGCTGATGAAGCCGAAGGTGCAGTTCCTAAGAAAAGCGCGTACAAGATGTTGTGTGGTCAGGGTTCAAACGGAAAAATCCATGCACAATGCTGGATTCAAAGCTCTGCTATGCAAGCTGGCTCACCGAAAATTAGAAGACTCCTGAGTAGACCTCAGTCATGTTTTCGCGACACCACAGGTTAGAAGAGAGTGCAATCTCCATTTTAGGGCGTAACACCCACATATTGGCCTGATGTCAGTTTGCTTAAGTAAGTCTTTCGAGAGGGTCGTGCCAAGATGCCATTAAATCCTTTTTTTTTCGCTCCGCCGTTCATATCAGTGTGTTAGCCGTCTGCTCATATCATCTTCGCTTGACCCAGCCCCGCAGACTTGCTCTCTCCACAACAATACGTCTGGCGGAGATGCACTTTGCTTAAATTTGGTCTTTGTTATCCACACGATGGGCTCTCCGCCCGCGGCTCGCGACAAATTCGGGTCGGTCTTTTAGAAATGGAGGGAATGGCTTCGAGTCTCTTCCCTAATAATTAGCGATCACGCTCTTCAAATATATTTATAACAAGAATGCGGAAGGAGTTCGTCACAAGACGTATCGCTTCGAAATAGCAGGCGAAAATCGTCGCGGCATATTCAAGGTATCTCAATACGCTGGCGTTCAGCACCATGACGCGCTTCTCGGATCCAAATAAGTTTACTCCAAGAGAGCATGCTCACCTGCCCTGTGTTACGAATCGAGGGCGATTCGTTTCAGTCCGACACTAGAGAACCAAGACACAGAAAAATCAATCGTAACTGCGGTCGCTTTCCCTTCGCCGAAGCCCAACGCCGGATCGAGAGCGATCCTATCGCGGCTGCTTCCAACGTGCGTGTCTCTCTCCGACATCTCGACGCGGAAGCGCACGAGATCTCGGGGAAGGAGAAAGGTGCGAGGGAAAGCTCCGCTTTGTTTATTTCTGGATTCGTATGGGAATGAAATTACACTTATATCTTCCCATTCGTACCCTGCATTAGCTAGCTCCGGGAGGAATTGACTTGAGGTTTTCGTCTCGAGGCAGGACCGGAAAATATTCATTGCGGAGAGGAAAACAGTCCTTGTAACAACAAAAGCAAACTCTTTTTATTCTCATTTTTCGATGTTATAGAGACCATATAATCCTTAGGTTCATGGTACCTTTCGTTATTGTTATTATTGTTGCTGTCAGTGTCTTTGTAGTTTTTTGAATCCAAGAATGCCTAATTCCTCTCAACAGTCATGCGGTACCCAGAGACGGGGACAATCAATCTGCGACGCTGTTCTTCGAGACCTCTCGAGTTTTATTCCGTTTTGCGCATCTCTTCGTACCGATGGGGCGTTGAACTGCTGAACAACTAGATCGACTCCGTCTTCCTGATCATAGAAGATTGCATACCCGCGTTCCTCTGTTCCCGGGGTCTCACAAGACTTGATCATAACTGTCTCCCAGAAATTCTCCCGTCTATCCGTATCGGATGAATTGCGTCCTGCGTCGAGTCGTTTGGATATCACCAGCTTTGCACTCGTTCGACTCGGAGCAAATACAGAATCATTTTTTTCTTAGATACATCGTATGTACAAATAGCTCAATTATCCTCGTATATACAGAACAACACGAACGTGAAATTCGTCGCGTCGTCTCATTTGCGTTCTCGAGTCACGTCATAGAAAAGAAATGCCGGATCTCGGCGAATTTCCAGCAAGCCAGAAAAGAAACATGGCGATTCGGATCCTCGCTCAGCAATACCGATCGTCTACACGACTGCTCTCTCCCATTGATGGCACCGTAATGTTTCTTCGAGTATTTTTTCTCTCTGTCCCTCCGGAATGTGGAGCAGAATAGCTTGACGCGAGCCAGAGGATCCAACTCTCGCTCAACTCAGACACTTGACTAAGGCATCTAAAACGAACTGTGAGTGTCAGGGAATAGTCGAGGGAAGTTTTAGCACCAGGAACCACTTCCGGTTCTGGTCATGGTGAGACTCGGAATCGGCGAAGTCATCGAGGGACAGGTTTAACAACAATGGCTCGGTTTATCAAAAATGTTCGCCTTGGCTAAAATACGAATTAGATCTCGCGGTCGCTCAGCCACTTTGTATAATGGTTCCTCTGTCGGTAAGCGACGTCCCGTTCATCTAACATCGTCTCCTGCATTCAAACCTTACACGAGAATGTATCAAGAATTATTTACTTTTGGCAGCTTAAACTTATGTGTAGATAACTGGAACTTGCGTCGCCTCCTTCGTCCTGCTGGATAGCTTGCCCTGGAATTCTTGTGGACTCAGGCATAAACAGAATGCGATTCCTCGGACGGTATTTCAGAAGTGTCGTCACAAGGAGTCCATCGATCCAGGCCGTTCGCGGAGTTGAGCGTTGCTGGGGTAGTTTGATACTCGTGTGACCCTGTGAAACCAAAACGCTTGTTTCAGTGAAACTCTTCCATTCGTGACACTCAGAAGCTCCATGTATCTGTTCGCGATAATCCCAGCGCCCTGGATGCATACAGTTTGTGACTGTTTCGTTAGTCCGAGAGCCGAATCGATTGTGAGAAGTCCATGACAATGCTTTCTGTGTGAGGCTCTCGGATGGAGGAGTCCCGTCGACGAGGCCCTGAACTCATCCAAGAGCTGCCGAACTATACCATCCAATCGATCTCGCAGGTTGGAAGTTCGTAGCGGAAAAGAGCTCGCTCAAACAGTTCTTCTGCCTGCGTCAGGAGAATCGCTCGAACGTTTATTGATCCTCGCCACTCTCAAGCAAAAAAAGCGAGTCGATAATGTAAACACTTAGTGCGACAGCCAGTGCCCTCTCCGATAATTCGCTAATACGTCCTCAGCCTCCTCAAAGGGCTGCAGAGCTGACCAACCGACCGATCCACCGCTCGACCGACTGACCGTCCGACCAACCAACCGACCGGACAACTGACGGCGCCCGCGATCTAGCGGGCAAGCAAGGAAGCATCGACTCTCAAGCGGAGAGCGGCAACCTTTACCACCCTAGCCCGGTCTGAACAACCCGGTCCAACGCTAATCCAATTACTGACCGCAATGAATTATCCACTTGCTTCCCCCGTATCCGGAGCCAGTCACCGCCACTACGCAGATCCGTTCGGCGATGCCGCGGTGGTCTGCTGCCGTGGCATAAGAACATCAACAACGACGTCGGAGCCCCACGCCGCGGCTCATTCTGTACTATGTATGTATCGGAGCGTCGGTCTGGCGAAATCATCCGATCTCGGGTTCCCCCGCCACGTCGAATCCGCCGCTGTACGGGTGGCCGAGTGCGTTCATACGGGCCTTGCAAGCACATCGGGAGACCAAACGAAACGGTCGGAGTTTCAACGCCTCATTGAACTCGGCGGAATAATAATTCTGAAATCTCGCTCACGTTGAACTAATTGATTATGTAGCCAGCCAGCTAGCTAGAGCTTACAAGTTGGAATACAGGCGTTGTTCCTATGGTTGAGCGTGCCTGTCCGATGCGGCGTCGAGTATAGCTGAGTCTCTTGAACACCACCGGTTTGCGGATTCCGGAGCGTTCCGTTCCGTGCGATCGAGGCTAGCGTAGCCCCGTGATCGTTGTGAGCCATTGACCGATGGTGATTTAGAGTTGAATAGAGTAAAATATTCTGATCTTGCATGTACAGCTTCGAATCCCTATATATGGTTGAAGTGTCTGCGAATCGAGAGAATCGAACGAGCGATTAGTGCCGGTCGAAGGACTGTACGCGACTCCGCTCCGATCGTATCAGGCCATCGATCGCTTCCAATCGAGGATGCTCACCATGGCAAGGACTTTGGTTTCCACGTTGATCTTGTGGACTTGGAGACATGAGGAAGAATTTCTTCTTAAGGCACACTGTCACCAGAACGGCTACAACCACGATCACGGCCAGTAGTGGAGCTACTATGGATACGACCAACCATAGAGAGGAACTACCGCTAGACTCGTCGAGAAGACCGCTTCCGATTGAGGCTGAAAGCGAGAGATTTCCAAAAAAATTAGAGGTGCGCCCTCCACTGTCTCACGCTGCGCATCCAGCCATTAGGCATCCGATACGATTCAACGGCTGAATATTCAACCCTACAACTGAAACCAGAACCGAGCGAACAGGCGGACTGGCACTTCAGCCCTCCGGAAAAAGTCGATTGTGCGCAGCGACCACGACGCCGAGTAACTTTCTACAGCAATATCCTTTTGAGAGCAGCGGTGAACAGCATCGCTACAAACACAATCGTGAATACTGAACAACCAATGTCAGCGGAGAGGACGGCGATACGCTCGAAAAAGAGTACGTCGCACAGTGCAGCAGCTGCCCCGTCTTTTCCTCCCGCCAGTGGAAGGCACGCTGGTCGTCGAGGCCTGCATGCTTGAATATTCATCCACCGAGCTGAGAGCCGGCGCGAGAATTCGACTTCAACAACGACAACAGCAACAAGTTCTCGGCAAAACTCTTGAGCGTGAGCGCAGAAAGCGCGTGCTCGAGGACCTTAACTCTTCGTCGAGAGTTCACTGCACAACATCAATCAATGCCGTCTCCCAGTGAGCTCCGGATGACTTGGCTCGTGAAAGTGAGTGTAAGAGGAGAGCTCTGCGAGGAGAAGCATTCCCCCCCCCCGCGACTTCCAGCTCCCGTATACTAACCTTGACCCGCCGTGGAAGAGTCCGTGGTTTGAACGATGAAATCTGCTTTTGTTGACCCCGCATCGCTGTACGCAGTGACCGACAGTTGGTACTTGCGCGATGGAGTTAGGTGTTCTATCGTTTTCGTGCCTGTCGCCGTGATGACATCAGACAAAACTACCCACGTATTCCTCTCATTGGATCTGCGCAGGAAAGAGAAGAGCTTTTTCAGAGAAGAACTTCGGCAAATTCTTCTTGGGATTTTTTTTTGGAGCTGCAAGGAGCTCCCGCATCTCCCTCGACTAAGCCCCTGAAAGCGACGTCAAAAGATTTACACTACAAACACTCGCGCATGGCGACCCACCCATCTCGACCGGTCGTCCGCCGGGCGGGCTGCCGGCCGGACGGCCAGCCAGGTCGCCAAGCTCACCGACCCATGTCTTGACCGACTCGTACTCGGAGAGCTCGACGGTAGAACTTCGGGGCAAAACCTGATTCCACCACTGTGAATTGAACTTCTGAGGCAAAAGGACGAATCTTTGCCAAAGGGAACCAGTCATCCTTTACTATTTGCCATGGCCGCGGCGGCTTTCGGTGCTGCGGGCCGCTCGGAGCTGCTCCGAGCGTCGCTCCCTTTTTGTCTTTCTCAACGAGACTTAAATCCTTGTCTCAGTCTTTATTTTTCTCCCGGATCCTCCTTCGGTATCTCTCGCTCCCCCGTACGCAGCCGCCCAAAAGCGTTGTCCCGCTTGTGCTCCTGCGTTTGCGCGCCGACCGAACGTAAGCTCGAAGACGAAAGGCGCCGATAAGGAACAAGAGCAAGTTGACATCGCAAGCCATGTTGCAGAAGCTGTTTGCTCACTGGTCTGGCGGGTTTGCGTCCACCGTACGCCGCCGCTATGGGCTAAGCTGCTTGAGCTCTCCGATAAGACTAAAAAGGAGCCAGCAGCAAAAGCTTGAACAACTCTCCGGATAGAGCGCAATCGAAACTCCGATCGGGTCGGCCCTCAGTCGAGACATCGGCTTGTAGGGCGCCTGTGTTGTTAGATCGTGTAAAGAAATAAGCCAACCGATAACGCCATCAATGTGCACCATAACGAGGATGGCTATCACATTGAGCTCACAAACTGCTGCCCGAATCCTGTGAGATTTGAAATTATTCCCCCTCGCCCACTAACACCGCCTCCGTGCTCCCGCAAATCACGATTCACATCACGAAGAAACTTCTTCGGTGGGTCGAGTGCGGAAAAGCTACTTCGGAAGTGCGGCGAGAAAATTGTTAAGTGGGATCACGCGATCGTGTCGCCACCCATCGCTTGTAGTTGAGTGCTGAATTGTGATGTCGATCCAATTCAAGTCGTCAATGGCATCGGCGACCAATAAGGAGAAGCTACGAAAAGTTCGACCGGCGGTGGTCTCATACTGTTATCAGAACCCACCTATATTGAATGGCGAACCGTGTTACAGGGCACGTCGCCTGGGCTTGAAGAGCTGCAGCTGCCGAATCCTTCCAGGCGCTCAGATGCAACGTTATACAGCTGGTGTTGGTGGAGATAAATCTTTCGAGAAGTGGACGAATGGGCGGAGTTCCTGCGGATGATACATCAACGGCTTAGCTCGAACGACGCAGTCGGACGATAATTCAAAAATAACTATCTCATGCTCAGCCGCGATCGAACGACTGATTCGTCAGAGAGTCGGAAGCCAGTCGGCCGAGCAGGCGGTCGAGCAACTGATCGAACGAATGAGTGAGTGAATGATCGAACGACGTTTGACAAGAAATCGAATACGACGGCGTTGAGCGGCTTCTGCTGCTGCTGTCGGAGTGATCCCTCTCGGAAAGAAAAGGGAAGAGAAAATTTACGAACCTTTTGTTCTGGCCACGGCTCGCGGTCCGGGCTCACCAGTGCCCAAACTGTTCGACGCCGTCATATACAGCTGGTACACGGTGCCGCATCTGAGGCCTTGCAATACGTATGTCTGCGCATTGGCCGCATCCAAAGTAACTTTGAGCCAATGCTCTTCTTCGAAGGAATAGTGGAGCGTGTATTCTGGAAAGAGAACGAACTTACGAGTCGAACACGTGACGCGTTTGCAAACGAACCGGTGCGCGAACACCTCAAGCTCACTGGAAGTATTGAGCCATGCAGCATATTTACCGGTCACTTGGCCCTTATTGTCTTTGGGACTGAACTCCCAACTGACTCGGAGAGATGACGTCGACACTGGACTGACCCGAATGGATGGCGAAGTCGGAGGAGCTGCAAAAAATCCATACAGATAGAACTTTGAGAGCGAGTTTCCATTTTTGCCGAATCGCCGCACAGCTCGGACCCGCTGTATTCAGACGTACGACTTTGTCACGAGCTCCCTGCCCTCTTCCGTGCCTCACTGGACTATGCTACACCGCCTAGTAAGAATCATGATCTGGCGCAGTATATTTCTCAATGGTCATCTCGGTATGTACTCGAGACGCGGCATCGAAAAGAAAATCATGTCATATTCTTCTTTTTTGGATGAGTCCCGTACGATGCGCCATTCATAGAGATTGAAATAGAAATAATACGCGCGGGGAAGGACATCGAATGTCGAATCAATCCCCACTACCGTGAAAGAGAGCGGAAGAGAGAGACTGGAATTACATGGCCCATTTAGTTCATGCTTTCGCTCGTTTCGACCTTGGGAAACCCAAAACACTAAGGAACTTTTTTTTTCTCGTTTGCTACCTCCATGTCCCCGCTCGCTGTCTCCTCTTTCTCTTTCCTCCCCTGTCGAACTACTTGAATTTCCTCTGAGGGTTACGGTTTCTTTTCGTCGTTGTCCAATCGAGCGTTTTTTTTCTAATGGCAGGTAAGAGAACTTCGTGGTAGTCCTGACCATGGAGCCAAGCACAGATCCGCTTGGCAGAAACGAACCGTCAATACGAAGTTCACTCTTTTTCGAGTCTATCTGACCGTCGAGAGAAGAAGCAAAAGAAACAGCTAGTCGTTTTATAGCCTTAAAGCTCGGCGTTGGCGACGGTGCTCACACATATTTGCAGCAGCAGCAGTGACGGAGCGAGAGAATGTGCGAAGAGAGAAACGGAAAAAAAGTGAACTTCCCCGGCAAGGGACGAGTGAGCGCTCGGCCTGCCGCCAACCTGGCCGGGAACGAACGTATTCCTCGAAAATTCGCTTCAGAGACGCAGATGGCTTCCGCGACTAGCCATTCGGGCCAAGCAAAAACAATGGAATTGCGGGAACGGAAAGAAGACCTCTGAAGAAGGAAAAAGACACACGAGACTCCGAGTGCCACGAAGGCCGGCCGAGCGACCGGCTGACCGTCCGCCCTCATTCAGAGTCATGGTCTTCGTTGTGTTCTCCCCTGTCGGCCGCTTCAACGCAGAAAGATCTCCCGCTCATTATATGCTTTTCTGCCCGCCCTGACTGGCTGGCTCTCCGGCTGTCCGGGCCGCCGACCCGGTGCCGAAACAACTGTGCCTGACGACTGGAACGCACTAAAGGGTACAAGGTCACGTTCCGTGACACAAAGGTGAAGATTACGGGGGATCGTGGCGAAAATTGTTGAGAATTAGGGCGAGCCCTGTCGGGGGCCACGATGCAAATTGTGACTGAATGATGCCGCGCTGATACGGGGAACTAAGGGCAATCGCGAAGTGGACAGTCGACGATCGCACCGGAAACGCGCCATGCGAATGTCACGCTCGACGAAATCCGTGAAACAGTAGTCGTTGCGGAACTCACATGTTTCCAGAGTGGCCGCGATGACCTCGTCCGATGCCGGTCCCGTGCCTGCCTGGTTATACGCCTGGACCACGATGGCGTATTTAGTCATTCTCTGCAGGTTTGTGAGATACGTTGTCTCCACTGGCGGCTCCACTTGTTTGAACGAATAGCTACCGTCCGTGTATGCGAGACGGTAACCCACTTTATAACCTGTGAAACATTCATCATCGCATGAGTGGCGAGTCCCGAGATGAACATGCTGAATAATGGTCGAGCCGCTCGTCCGATCGGGCCCGACTGTACCTTTTATCGGTCCATTCTGCTGGTCTTTCGGTGGGGCTTTCCAAGAGACCTTCAATGATTGCGAGCCCGTCGTGTGCACGCTCACAGAGTTCGGTGGAGCACTGGGAGCTGGAAAGTACAGTTGAGCTTCAGAGCTTCGCAATTCTATTCCGTCGAGCATTTTCCTCCTCTACGCTCCAGTTGGCCGGCGGGGAATTATCTCGTCCTCGATTCATGTGTTTTCCTCCGTTTAGGCTCCCATGAATTCGAAGAGACCCTTGGCGTCCGTCCCGAGCCCAGTTACGCTCCTAGAGCTCCAGCTCCCCGACGATACATTTCGATCTTGACGGAATTTCACAGTAAACAGCGCTACACCCTTCGCCCCTGATCCGCGAGGAAAAAGTTAAAACTCCCGCGTCCTCGAGAGCCATTCCGTCTAGAGGTCTTGGGAGTAATTCAGGAAAAACGAATGGCCCCCATTGCCGAAAAATGCGCGAGCGAACCCAGTCCCGCGAACAAATCGGCTCCGGCAGCTTTCGGCTCACGGAACGCTGCGGGAATACGTTAGACGCATTCTCGGCGATCTGTGCGAGGTCGAAAATATTATTCATGCTTTAATAGCTTCGGACGATAGACCACATGAGCAAGCATAACTGCGCGAGTGGGCGGTTGGATGATGGGATGACGAAGATTAGTCTGACCCGCGAGCGCGACTGGCGGGCGGGGTGGAGTACAATGTCACGTCACTCGAAGACACCTGATGCTGCCGCTACGACTCAATTAGATGACGTTGGCTTGACGCTAATTACCGGGTCAGTGCGGGATAGCGATTGGGACAAGCGAGCCTAGACAGCAAGGTGGGCAGTCGGGTCGTGAGAAGGCAATTGATTCTACGATGTCGACGACATCTGCATACTACGCTCGACGAAAGGACCGAGAGACGCGCTTTCAACCGAGTGACAAGCGCATTCTCCGACGAACGGCCTCACCCCTTTCCACTTGTCGTTCCGAAGTCGGTTACTCATCACCTCATCGTCGTTCCAAATTGAACTGAAATCGCTCGCGCAGAAGAGCAACCGCAAAGTCAGGGTCTTCGATCAGAGAACAAGCGGGTAGTGGTGATTCATCCTCGACGGGAGCGAGCTCCGGGGGAAAACGGAATCGAACAGGAGGACTCCCCACCGTCAAAGTATCTCATTCGGTGCATCGTGACCAAATCGTGAATAATTACTCGAGCGTTCAAGAGTGACTACTTTCTCGCAAGGTGACGGAGAAAAAAACGAGCAGTCGAGCCGGTGATACGATCCACGTTCAGTATCCGTTTGCTTCATAGAGAGTGCAAAAGCATAAAAACATCCGAGAGCTCCCCGCTCGCGAGAAGCGATAGGGACGGTCTGCTTACCTTCTTCGGTTGTAATGAGAGCCACGGTCCCACTGTAGGGTCCGGTTCCCAGCGCATTGACTGCGCTCATGCGAACCTCATACTGCGTGATAGGTTGGAGATTGCTCAGCACGGCCAGGTGATTCTCACCGCCCCCTACGACAACTTTGTGCACCTGTACGAGTTCGGGAATTGATTAGAACTGTCATATCCAGAACCAGCCGATTCCTCCCGAGACTACTCCCCATGAAAACCTAGGAAATACTCAGGGGAATTCGGTAGGGACCTCGCTTGGCAAATTACCGACATTCACGACTCTCTTTCCGCCGCTAAATCGGCATTCCGAACGGGCCTCGGACCGGCACATACCTTGACGTTGGGGTTGTCTTTCGAAGGCCAAGGATCTTTCTTGAGTTTGTATTCGATCGTGTAGCGCGTGATCACAGAGTTACCGCTGTACGGGATCTGCCAATGTAGCGTAGCTGTTCGCGAAGTCTGGTTTCTGATCAGAAGATTCGTGGCCGCTCCGGGGGGTTCTGCAACAAACGGAAAAGTTTCCACTCGTATCGGATTCACGCACCATCGCGTATGCGCTCGCCTACGAAGACGACGACTTCGGTCGTCTCCATCGGCGACAGACGTCAACGACCGAACATCGCCTACTGCATGGAGTGCTGCCAGGGAGCGCCCGACGGAGTTGTGTTCTTTGGTCTAATATTAACCCATAAGATCATAGGGAGGATCGAGCCCGCTGTTGAGTTCTATCGACGGAAGGGCAAGTGGATGGCATTCTATTCGAACGAATCCGCTTTGCTCGTCTTCTTCTAGCAACGATAGCAACAATAGCTCTGCGCTAACAGGTCGGGCTTCCAGCTTATTGACGGCGGGTATCATTGACAGCGGCCCCACCGCCGGAGAGCTCCGGTCGCTCCACCGAAGGTGTTCTGGATGCATAAGATTATCCATTAGCATGCAGAGACTGTGGACACACAATTTGGCCCGAGGAACGGGCAACAGAAAACAGGGGATCTGTTAAGCAGGTAGCACGCCCGTTCGTCCGTTATCCTGACGGCCCCCGAGCCCGCCTGTTCCCCTGTCCGCCTTTTCCTGCCCGTTCCCTGACCATTAACGCCTCGGTCCCTCTCTCGTGGGTAGGGTGACTTGACTCCTGTTTCGGAGCGCGGAACCTCGGCCAGGTCACTAATGAAAAGTGCATTAACTTCTCATGCAGCAGCAGCAGCAGCGCTGACCAAGTGAGCGAACAACTCTCGAAAGCACGCGCGCCAACTCGATAAACACTCCCCTTCGACCTTGATGCTCTGTAACCCCTCTTATCACCTTTCGCTGAGTTACAGGGAACCCTTCGACCCTCGAGATTGGCAAGCCCTTGATAGCGTCTGGGCTCATGACTCACCTTGAACCACAAGTTGAATGAGCGCCGTCTCCTGACCGTAGTAGTTTTGAGCCCTGCAGCTGAACATGGCCGAGTCCTCCCGGTTCGCTTTGTTGATGAAAAGGGCGCTCTTGGTTTCTTTCGTCTCGATGACGTATCGGGACTCGTTCAAAGCGGTATTCAGATTCTTTTCCCACACGTAGTGCATGGGACGGTCACCCGAGGCCGCGCACTCTAAAGTCACCTGGGAACCCTGTCGGACACGGAGGAAAAATATCATCTCTTCAAATCCGCTACAGAGTCCGGGCTCGTTACGTATTCGGACCGCGGGAAAAAATATTCCGCTCGTCCGGGGGAAAGCTCACCTTGGGTACGTTGTACGTCCTGTGCTTGGCGTCGAAGTGTGGCGGCACGTGTACGGTGAGGTAAACGAGCTTGGAAATGCCGGCACCGATACCGTTGTGGGCCTCACAGAGATAATAGCCCTGATCGGATTCTTCGAGCTCTCTGATCAGGAGCGAACCATTCACCAGATGATGGTTCCGAAAATTGTAATGGATGTAACTGAAGTTGCGCGGCTCGACTCCTGCGAACGAACGTACATACGTTTCTGACCATCAAATCGCGAATTAACAGCCTCGATTGGCCGACGATTCTTAACGATTCTCTGAACGCGATAGCAAACTTCCGAATGTGAGTATTTTATTTCCCTGGTCTGCGCTCCATCCGAGTGATCGGGAGTCGAGTGAACTACGTTCTTTCGAATCGGTCGTAGATGGAAGTGCGTCTTGAGGGATAATTTTCTTTTTTCCGCCAGAGAACACAATAATTTCTACTCCCACGGGAATTCGAATACCCACCAACTCCTTTTTTCCATGTGACGCTTGGCGCTGGGAATCCATCACATGAGCAGTGCAAAATAGCACTTTGTCCGATGACCGCAGAGGCGTTCCTTGGCTCCACCTTCCACCTCGGAGCCACGGATACGATGAGCTCAACTGTCCGACTCACAGAAGCTGCATCGTTCGAGACGAAACAAGTGTACATCCCCTTATCGGCGAACTTGACGCGTTGAAATTTTATAATTGATGAATCCTCATTCGACTCGATTTGACGATCGGCGTTGTTCCTCAGCTGGAGACCGTTCTTGAGCCATCGGAATCTATGAGGAGCGGGAAGAACATTTTATTCCATCCAGTATCCCTGGATATTGTTACTCAAATTCTGTAGCACGACGAAAGTGAACTATTCCGGATCGGAGTAGAGAATACGAAAGCTCCCGAACGAGGATTCTCGGAGTAACTCACCGCAATGGAGGGTCGCCCTTCGACACAGAACACATCAGTCTCGATCTGGTTCCCTCTTCAACCTTAATTATATCCGGGAAGAAGTGATCGTCGATTTGAGGGGCCACTGGAATCCAGGAAACACGAATGAGTTGTAGGATACGTCTACTTCAACATCCACTCCACGTCGGATATCCATCGAGTACAGGGGAATTCGTTGCTTGGAGTTCCGTTCCCAGATTCACGGAATCTGAGCTGCATATTCTCATCGGAATGATGTGATGTCATCATTCAGATGAGCACCGATCTCCTTCCCGAATGGCTGTGCGGACGAAATTCATCGTTGGTGTTCTCGGTGCGAGGTGGAAAGTTTCCCGTGCTAATCAAGTCTTTTTCGAAGCCAAATGCCCAACTTTGCACTATCGAGCAATAGGTCCAGCTCAGTGGCCTGTCTGTGTCAGACATGCGGGGAAACTGCTGGCTTCGCAGTATCAATGCCGTGGCTGCAGGGTTCTCTTCAACCGAAGGCCGGGATACAGGGACCGGCTTACTACGGGCTAAGAGTAAGGACGGGCAAAAGAGAGCCTCGAGACTCGAACTCTGAGAAGTAGTGGCAGCAGTAGTAGAAGTACTACTACTATAGAAAAGAGAAAAACGAAAGGAGCCGGGGAAAAGGAGATGCTGTATGCCTGGCTTGCTCGCTTGTTTCCTATGGCATTGTATCCTTCTCCTACTTCTTTGTTGTGTAAATGCAAACACTCGTTCATCGTGCTCCGTCTTCGTCCATCTGAGCGGTGGCGGCGGCGACGGCGCCGGCAAGCGAGGAGAAAGCTCTTTTCGAGTCTTTCCATCGCTATTTCTATCAGCCATTGATGGTCATTCACTCAACATCGCACGGAGGCGAGTGGGCCAGGGTGCGAGTCAGCCCGGCAGAATAAGCACCGACCACATTTTTGTCTCCTCTTGGCTCCCTTCTCCGGCGAGCTCTAGAAGAAAAGAAAATGGATTCTGCTCTCAAGATGGTGAGCAGTCATGTTGCTCGATCGTAGGCTTTCCTTCAAGAATGATCGTTCCGGAAGTTCATGCAAAAAGCACGACATAACGTCAGCGAGAAAATGACTGGCATATGTCAGAACGTGTCTTCCCGCAGAGCATGGGCCATCATTAGCTCGTCTGTATCGGCTCATCGAATCAGCCGCACGCGTCAGCCGATATACGACCAGGCGAGGAACGGATACGTTTCGTCTTGTATGTATAATGAATACATTACGCCGGGAAATAGCCGATGCAGCCCGGAAGAAGTCATTGTTGAGAAATGATCGATTCGGGGCCTGTCAGTCGACCGGACAACGTCGTCGGAGGCCTCGGCCGCGGCAACAGGATAAATGTTTTTCTGCCTACGCGTCAAGGGGACTCTCTCCGAAGGTTCACATTCCAGCCTGCGCATTCGCGAGCTTCAGTTTCCTTTGGCCATCCTCAAAGTCAGCATGAGCCCTTCATGGAGCAGACGGACCGCACTCGTCCTGGTCCGCGTATACAGATTTTCCCGTTTCGGCGCCCGCTCGGTCGGACGACGGGCAGACAGACTGCCGAACAGGTCTCCCCGTCTTGTTCGGAGCTCAAGTACGGTGAGTCGCTGGATAGCCGAGAGCATGTTCGACAGTTTGGCCTACCAACTCGAAAGGATATCGATTGTTCCGGGTACAGCGAAAAAACTGAGACCGTTTAGAATTTCAAATGACAGCTGACAAGAACGACGAACTAAGCATGGTTTTTGTCCGTCGACCCTCTTTTTTCTCTGCTTATGCGTCGTTCCCATGTATTCTACCCTCGAACTCAACCGTCAATCCGATGGAGAGAAGGTTTCGTTGTTTCGGTTTGTACAAGCGATCTTGCGAGACTTCCTCCTAGTTTAACTTCTTCCTTCGAGTGCTCTGTTCCTCTGGGCGATCTTTTCTTGCGTCAGCGCAACGGATTCTCCCCGCTTGTTCGTTTTTCGTGTGCAATATAAGCGTTTGGATTCGGACAGGAGCAGCAACGCACACGCAGGGTGGAGAAGAAAAAAAACGAGGGAATAGACCCGAAACGAGAGATCATCGACGACTACGATGATCATGCTGCTGCTGCAGGGGATCCATGAACGCCCTCCAGGAAAGATGGAGAAGACGAACGCCTTCGAAAACTTTCCTCCGTCGTCGTGATCTTGGAATGAGCGCTACCTCGGCACTGGGGGAGTTGGAGGGAAGACAAGCGCATAACAAAAGCATTCCGAACAGCTCTTGAAGAGACACAAGAAGAGATCATCAACCATCCGGTCGGGAACATCGGTCGTGCTCTCTTTTTAAAAGCGATGTGGATTGCGGAAGGAATCTCCATTTCCCCTTCAAAATGGTCCCGCTCGCATGCTGGTCATGTCGGAAGAGATGTCGCTCTGCTTTCCAGGATGTTTCTGACTGGAGGGCTCCGAGGAAAAATAGTGAAGTCGCGCCTGAGTCGACATCCGAACCTCTCTTCAAGCGTCATCGAATGGATTTCGTTTTTCGTTAGAAGACTTTTCCATTCCTTTCACGAAATTCCTCGTTTCGTTTAATATTATGCATACTTGGACTGCTGGCTGTGCTATCTTCCCAAGGATGGGTACTCACCGACGACGGAGATGTACGTTGTTGCTGTCGTCGTATCCTTATCTTGACCACCCTGAATCTGACAAGTATACTCTCCTTCGTCGTTTGGCTTGTGAGTCTGACGGACATGCAAAACGCCCTTGTTGTCAATGGAGTGCCGATAGTTCACCGGAAGCACCATACCGCCTGAAGGAAGATGATGGAGCATACGTGTTAGAATCTAAAGCTTACGGCCTGAAGGCAACAGCATCACGAACAGCAGGAGCATCAACTCGCGGATCGCTGCTGCTCTCGCACCACCACCAGCAACGCCGAAGCTTTTCGTATCCTTTTCATGGGTGGTAGCTACAACAACTAGTGCCCCGCTGTTATTTTTTTTCGTTCCCTCGCGGGGACGATACCCTTCCTGGCTTAACGGGAATCCGGCGAGTTCTGGAATGCAGCCCGGGCGATGCTTCGATTACGCAAAACTCCTCCGCAAGGCTCCGAATCGAATGGCGTCCGAATTCGTGAATTCCCACCGTGCCTAAGAAGGCGGAGCGTTCCCCCGTGACGAAGCTGCTTCCAGTGCATCGCTGGTGTCAGAGCGGATTGCGATGCGAGCCTTCGATACACACGAGTTGCTTGGACACGACGCGCAATTCTCCGGAACCTGCGGCGGGCGGGTTTTTGCTCACTTTGGCCAGAGTTCTTACTTACCTAGATTTGAGGAACCTGTCAGAGTTTTTGCTCCAAGTTTTTGCAACTCGCATGGCTGATTTAGAGAGAGGTTTCCGGAGTTCTCCTCCGTTTTGCCTCTCTTCCTTTTATTATCCCGCCGCCGAGGCTCCCGAAGAAGAGTCTCTTCGAATGGTACGAAAGGCTTCCCAGGGCTTGCTGGCAACGGTACAAGCTAAGACGCAAAGCATGTCGTCATTTTTTTTCGCCGCGCAGCGATTTTCTGCCCCCTCCCCACCCCCGTCGGGGCCTGGATCCACAACAGCCGTCCTGACGCAGCTCATTTTTTTGACGCGATCGGCGGGAAGCCGGCAGAATGCATTTCACTAATCACCTCGCCGAGGCCGGATCCTCGCGATCCTTGCAATATGTTCACAAAGGACCGTGCATAAGGTTTCGAATCGGCTGCGGCACCGGTCATTTCTTTCTTAGCGAGGGTGTGCCGGAGGTAACGCCAGAGGCCAACCTACGTGTCAAAGCTTGACACACTTCGCCAAATTGAGCTCGGTTAGCACGCGAAACATGTGTTACTTACTCTTCAGCCACGTAATCGGTCCCACCGGGTAGCCACCGTACGGACACTTGATGGCTAGATCGGTGCCGGAGACGACAGATGCGTTCCTCATGGGTCTCACAAACGCTTCCCCCTCGATGTTGACTCTGCTCGAGTGTTCGACTGCTGTTCCGATATCGTTCGAAGCTACGCAAGTGTACTCCCCGCTGTCTTCCACTCGAGCATCGCTCACCTAGAATACGGGAATACTCTTGAAGAGACGTGACCCCTCAAAAAGACCTCTCACAAGTTGTTTGAATAATCCACGGAGAACTTTCGCTCTGCAGTCGAGGTTTCCCTCGCGAGCGATCTCACTCAGTAGGTCGCATGAAGTGAAAGTGCCGGGACATGCGACCGGAATCTCGGAGGAAGGAACCCACCTGGAGAATGGCTTCGGTTTCATGAGCGTTTTGTCTTGAAGAAATTTTGTGCCGTTCGCTCTTGTACAGATGGTCACCGTCGATTCTCCAGGTGACTTCGGGCAAAGGACTGCCTTTGGCTTTGCACCGGAGCTCGAAAGTGTCTCCCGGAGTGACGAATTTCTCTTCGAAACCCTCGAGCATCGACGGACTCATGTCTGGAAACGAATCGTAGCTATATTCCCCGATTATTCCCAGGGACGGAATGCGCCTCCCACGGCACGCCCCCCTCCCCCTGATTACTCGCGAACACTGAGATGTAGGTAAAAATCCCTCGTTCAACGAAGTGTTCGGCCACGAATGGAGCGGGACCGGCTCACGAATCGACATTGAGATCGGATTTCGGCGGACATTGACGGACGTCGGGACACGTTGAACGGCCGCGCTTGTTTTTCAGCCTTGAAGTTTTTTTTACGAGGTGTCTCCCAGCCCTCAGCAACGACGCCAAGAAACAAAACGAACAGGATTGGAACACCATGTCCACTTGTTTCTCACGCGGTCTGTCCGTGGTCGTCCCCCAAGGGAATCAAAACGTCCTTGGCAAGTCCGCTCGGACACCGTGTAGGTTGGCATCCAGCCAGAGATGTTTACCGCAAGACGCTTGGAAGACGGTATAAAAGGCCTCGGGGACAGTCGGCGGAACGTTCGAACAGAGGAGGCGGACCTGGGCCAAGACGAGAGCACCAGCTGCTCCTGTCGAACTCCAGGGTCACGTATGCGAAGCTTGTCGACACACATATTATTCACACGGAACCGCGCTCCTGGGTCAAACGTATGAATGGATCTCTCACAAGTGTTGTGGCCAAGTCGTCGCAAACGATCAGAAAACTTGGATTCTCGCTGTGCGACATCGATCGAGGAGAATATGATAAGCATCACGATATCGGCTCTCGCTCTTGACGATCCGAAAGATTATTATCTGAAGGGGAGAACCGCGTTCTTCATCCGGTATACACATAAATACCCATTCATAATGAAGGACCGGAAACTGCCGATCCCTCTTCGGAAATCGGAGACGACACCGAGACGATGGACTCACGGGCGATTCGAATGCCCCGAATTCCGCCTTCGGATGGGGAGAAATGCACTTACCGTCAAGACGCAGCAAAGCCACGGCTTGCGACGCGTCGCGGTCGTTTTCGGCGAAACATTGATAGATTCCCGCGTCCTCTCGTCGGATGGATTGGATCCTGAGCACGCGATCCGAGTCCAGGAGCTGGATGCGACCATCGGCGAGTAGTGGCTGGGAATCTTTGCGCCACGTCACCGACGTTACCGGTTGACCTGAGAATTAAAATCGAGTGATCAAACTTGATTTTTCGGTCGGGTGATGATCATTCCTTCCATAAAGTTTTCCGGCTCGATCACATAATCGAATCAGCTCCAGAGAAACTAGTTTCGCTTCTGAGAACCGAGGGAAGAATCCCGTTCTCTGAGCTCAGACGGAAGCCCGCGCATCGCTGAGTTCGGTCGATCTCCTCGAGGGACTGTGTTCTGAGAAGAATGCGCCTCGTGACACATGACACATGGCAGGCAGCGGACTTACTAGCCGGCCTTCCGCTTGAATGGACGGTGGGTTCGTCGCTTGGACGCTCATCGGAGGCATAAAACGCTTTTTGTGTGTGTTTGTGAGAGGAGAAAGAAATCTCAACACTCCTTCTCCTCAGAGTTCAATGTGATTTTGATGACCAGTCGACCGAGGGGCAAGAAAAAAGGAGCTCTGACCACTTTTCAATGAAATGGCAAAGACGCCGCCGCCAGCAAACAACAGCTGTGCGTTCTTGCTGCTGCCGCCGAACTATTGTGAGATGAAGGAATCCTTTGGGAGAATGTTCAAGACACGGAACAATTTTTTTCCTCCGTGCCCTTTCATGCGCTTTCCTTTATATTTACGGATGCCCCCCATCCGGCCTGAGAGGTCCATGAACGCATTTGCTCCATGTTGAACTTTTCATTGCCTCGAGCAGAGCACCCGGAAATCAAGCATTGATTGACAATCAAGATTGACATGCATGTGAGGTGTTGTTCTTTCGTAATTTCTTTTCGATTCACTCACCTTGGATACTGCAGTTGAAAACCGCCTCGTGACCGATCTCCACTCGCTGCTCTTGAGGGTAGAGTTTAGTTTGAAGAGGGATCACGACTGTCAGCACAGACTCGGTTCTCTCCTCGCCGGCCGAATTCCGCGCGATGCACACGTAGCGACCTTCGTCGGCAAGTTTCACTGCGCGAATCGTTACGACCCCGTTCGATGTTTGTAGACGATCCGTATCGATGAGTTTCCTGCGATTGCCTTCTTCATCTTCGATGTACCAACTGCAGCAAGTCGGAAACGACGGAATGTTTGAGCAATATCGAGGAATAAACTCCGACATTCATGACGTTGAGCGGCCGGTGGCAACGATTCGATGGCGACACGATCCGACGCAGAAGAGAAATCGCGGAAGTAGGGCGAATTCCATATGGATGCATTCTCTCCCTTACCTGTACTTTGGAGGGGGGTGACCTTGTGCAACACAAGGTAAATCAACGTGTGAACCCAATTTAGCTTTCACTTCTGGGAAGAACAATGTGGCTTTCGGCGCTGAGCTCACGTGTGATTCTGGAATGAAGTTCGCTCAGGGTCAGATATGCGCTGTGGTCCTGATTTAAATATACGCCAACGTTCTCCTCACACCGGACGCGCATTGCGCGTCTTGAATTTTGTAAAACGCACGGGAGAGAGCCCAGGCATGAGTTTCGATATTCGGCGATCGATCGACCTCTCTACGCTTCGTGGATGTCGGGAGACGACAAAAATTTCCTCCTGGCCGTCTGGACCGCTCGAAAAAAAAAATCGGTGATTTGAAAAATCAGCTTCGCGCTCATCTCCCACCAAACTGGGTATGCCAACAAGGACGTCGCTGGCGAATGAGCGAATGAGCGAGCGTGCCGGCCGGCCCGACCAAGAGCGATCGCTCAGACGGACGGCGAGATGTTGGAGGAAGAGCGCGGCACGACGATTAAAAAAACAGATCTTCGGCCTAATGCTGCTCGCCCTGGGGAACTTCGGCCACTGTATATCGGCTTTTGCTCCGCTGTGGCATATGCTCTCTACAGGGAGTCTGTGAACCGAGTGACTCGCTGACGAGCAGACGAAAATCGCGACCGATCCCTTGTTCGCTTTCTCATGAATATGGGCTGCTCTAACCGTCGCCGCCTGCGTGGGGTGATTCGGCCGCCCGCACAGAAGCCCTCATTAAACGCAAAAAGCCCCGGCTTGCCTGGGCACGTAGCAGCTTTGCGAAACAGCGACGTCGCTATCGTATCAAGAATTTACTTAGGTGTGAACGATTATGCCATTGAGGATGTCAGACACCGCGGCAAATTAGGAACTGTGGGCCTGGCTTTTTAGCCTTTGACACTGATTGGATTCTTTATGCGGCCCCTCGAACATCTGGTGTGTCTGAAGTCGGATCGCTTTTCGCGACGGTAATCCATGCTCCGCTTTGGAAAAATCCGACGGGCTCCCTCCAGTGCCGGGGCGGAGCGTGAGTTCCTGCGAACGGCCCCCACTCGCCAAGAGATTCCACGGGAAACAGACGGACCGCGATCCGTCGGTGTAAATGCGCCTCGATTCCACAATCACGTATTCTACGCCGCCGGAACAGGAGGAAGATAGAATTCCCATGCATGAATCCAACACAGCAGCTGTGCTCCTACCTGTCACGGTGACTTTTCCATGAGTACTGGTGACGGCGATTTTTCCGGTGAGCAGATGACGCGTCCGACATTTGTACGATCTCTTCTCGTCCTCAGTGGACGTTCTATACACCAACAGTTCACCACTCTGTAGCACTGTGTAGCGATCCTCTGAAACAAGATGAAAGAACTTCGCAGAAATCAGCGGCAGCAGGAAGGGAGGATGTCACGAACGCTCGAAGAGAATTCAGCGCCGATTTCCGAGAGAACGGATTCAAGCCGTCATTTAGCACGTCAGGCTTTCGTTACACGACTCGATCAGCGGATCTGTCGGGCTGGATCTCGTGAAAATCGTTCCTCTTGGAGCTGCCGTGATGAATTGATTTTTGGTCGGGAGAAGACAGAACTAGGTACGGAGAAGGGAGTAACGAATGGATGAGCTCTCGAGAATCAAGGCAGCCGAGGTTTCAAGATTAGATTTCTTTTGAGGTAGCTACTTGTCGAAGTGAGACGTTCGAAAGGGAATTGACAGATGAACAGACCGACTCACAGACGGAATATCGAACAGACAGACGGACACACGGACCGATGGCCGCCGACGAAGACCGACCGAGGAGAAGGGAATCAAATTGGATCGCAACGAGCACGAGAACCGAGAACGCCGCCGCTAGAACAGCCGCAGCGGCTGTCAGCCGACATAGGGAAACGAGAGGTCCGTCCATCCGCCTGTCGGTCGGTCTGGCCGTCCGTCCGTCTGCTTTCCGACTCTGGTTGTCATCGTCGGTAGGTAGGGGAAGCTTCCAAAGTCATTCGAATCACTTAACCCATTCTCTGACATGGTCTTCCCCGAATCGTTCGCTCACGCACGCTCATACGGTGCTCTCCTCGTTGGGATTAGGAAGGAAACGGTACCGAGCTGTGAGAGGTGAATGAGTCGGAGACGATGACGACAGCCGCAACGAGCAGGAGGAATCGACTCGACTCACTAAGAACAGGAGGACGGGGTCGGGTAGCTTGATTAGATGAATGAATCGATGCGAGGGATGAGGACATAAGACCGATCAATCGATAGGTAGATAGGGAGTCGTCAGACAGAGCGAGGGTCAGCCAGGACCCTTCGGAGATTTCTTAGGCTCTTCCTTCTATTTTTCACTTCCGGATTTAATATAGAACGAGTAACGCCTGACGACGCGACGGCTCGAGGACCTCTCCGCAGGTAGGTATATCTCCGGAAACCGAGTTCCCGCTCCGTCGTCGTATATCATAGGAATGTCATGGCAGGTTCTCCGCCGCAGACGGCGGATCCTTATTCCCCCTTTTTTAAGAACTCGTTGTCTCAAGCGAGATCTTCGGGCCTTCGTTCCCTCGCTTCGCCCAACGGTGCCTATTCATCTCTTTCAGTCTTGAAAACGTCGTCGACACCGCCGACTCGCTCTGTCTCTCCGCCAACGCCACCACCACCTTCGGAGGAGGTAACAAGCTGCCCTCATTTAGCTGCCCCGGTTGTCAGGGCTCTTGCGAGTGCTGTTCTCGCTTCTCGGAGAGCTTCACGAAGCCGTGTCTCTTATCAGGAGCGTCGTCTGTCTCCTCGGCGTCGGTGCTGGCGGCCGGCGGTGGTCGTTCCTCAGACGGCCGCTCAGGGTTTCTCTCGTTGCTCAATTTTATGCTCTCGGCACTGGCCAACCGGGTCGTTACGGGCGCTGTCTCAGAGGAGTGAGGGTGATGCTCATCCACTGCCGGCTAACCGCCCGGCATTACTCCATTCAGCGGCGAGTCCCGTTGCGATGTCGTCGTCGTTGTCGTCATCGCCGCCGCCGTCGTCACCGGTGTTCTCCGTGGTCCTCCTGTTCGGCCGAACTGTCAAGCTGCTGTAACGAGCCCTTTCGAGTAAACCCACCCTCTGTGGCGGCTCGTCATTGCCTGGGCCGACGTACAAATGGCTCTTATGGTGCAAGTGGAGACAGATTTGTCGCATCATTCCCATTTGCCGGAGTCCCTTGGGCCAATTAGAAACGAAAGGAGCGATTCGGCCGTTTGAGCGACTTGTCGACGACACTTGCGCCGCAGCTGCGTTCGCCGAGTCTTGCTGACGCTCGGAAGGTGGGGTTAGTGGGGAACGGGCGCAACAGGGAAACGGAAAGAAAAAAAATCGGAGGGTTATAGCGACAGGGCATTCAAACAAACGGCGCAATCGGTTTAGTTTGTTCGAGCTGCAGCGACATCGCGGTCGGCGTTCTCTTTTAAGGGCTCCAATTCTGGTTTTTGTTTCGGTTCTCTCGAATTCCCCGGAGGGTAGAGAAAGTCACGGGGAAAGCTCGGACGCTGGAACTTTTCGGAGTTCCTCGCTGATCGCCACTCCCGTACATAAGTATTAGGCGCTCGTCTGACTCTCCATTTTTCTCAACCTCAGTGAGCCGACCGCGCTGTGGTTCATGGGATCGGGGTCCTATAATTGGTTAACGGCGGCATAATGATCTTTACCTTTATTCCCTGAAGCGTTGATGGTGAAACCATCGTCTCGGATCCACGCATCGACGTTGGTATACTGCCTAATGTAGGAGGGCACATGGCACTTCAGGACGGCGGTATTTCCTCTCACAACAAATCCGTCGTAGACTCTCGGCTCGTATGTGTAGTCCACCACTGAAAAAAAACTTTTCGTCTCACCGGAGGCTCTTGCACGAAACTCCGGGCCACGTCCTGGAGTGGGAGCGACAAGCAGATCAGATGTCTACACAGTACGATATGTATGAAGAATAATGGGGGAGGGGGGTTCCCGCTCGCAACGATATTGTTCGCGACAGCGTGTTCGATTAGCGAGAGCGGTTGTACACGAGATGGCAGTCACAGACACTTGAAGGCAGCACAGTCGCGTCTCGCAACAATATTACAGATAGCTCGCTCGTACTTACCCGCGCTAACGTGGACATCTCTCGAGGTAATGGAACCCACATTGTTGGTAGCCACGCAGCGATATACAACCGCGTGGACATCCTGCCGGTAGTCTTCGCTACGGAAGGGCGGAATCACAAGTGTGCCCTCGTCTGAGAAAACGCGCAGACCTGGCACTTGACTCACTGTTTCGCTAGGGTCTGGAAAAAAAAATGGAATCAACTCAACATTTCGTTGCAAAATAAACGACTTATCGATAGTCACGAAAAATAACTGACGCGTTCCACTAAACTTATGCGGATATCTAGTATGTAGCTGTGTATTTCATGTGCTCCCGGAGGCTCTTTGCGGGGGGATCGGGTGCCCGTACGGGCCTCGATTGGGGGGGGGGGTTGAGGGAAGGTCCACATCGTCACCTTGTAAATCGGGAACCGGAAATCACGGGGAACATTTCCGAGATCTCCCACGCTCCCGAGTTCCTCTTCAAAATATTTGCACGGGCCGGATGTTTCCGGGATGGAAGAATTAGATTTCCCGTGTGATCTGTAATTATTATTGACCCCTGCTCGCGTCCCGACTGTCATCGGAGATCATTGCAGCGCTCATGGGCCGGTAGTCATCGACGCATACAGGATTGATGACGGCTCGGAATCGAGTGAGCTGAGCATTGCTTGCGATTGCCCAGCGACAACATATTGTACAAGGCAGTCAGGATGCTGTGTATGAGGTTTTGTTCATTCGTCTCGATGTGCTCAGTGACCCGCATCGAGCAGCGACAGGAAGGAATGTTTGGCAGAAGGGAATAATCCCCGTAGTTTCCCATCCGGCATTCGAGCGAGCGAGCGAGTAAGCAACCGACCAACCGGGCTAGCACGGAGGCGAGACGCCAAGCGAGCGAGCGGACAGCGACGGCTGTCCTCCTGGACCAAATTCAATGCACAAGCGGGACAGTAATTTGACGTTGGCGATTTTCGTATCTATCTATCTGTCCATCTATCCGTTGGCATAAACTGCGCCGTTATCCGTGCATTCCGATCGTCTATCTTGATCGATCGTGAGCCTCCCCGTGGGTTGGACGAAAGGCAACCGATCACGGCGTGCCGATCGCAAGTCCCTTTTCTCTCAAGGAACTCGGATTTGTTTCCGAATTCGCTTCCTTCGGAAATGTTCTCGAAAAGATTGAGAGCAAAGTTCCACGCGGCAACCGAACATGAGCGTTCGAATCCGATGGGCTTGCGAGCAGCTATCGATGAACGTCGGCGTTGAGCGAAGCGGGAAGTGCTGGGAAAATTGCATGTGATAAACTCGTTTCCAGCGTAAACGCGGTCTCCGACGATGGGCAGGGGAAGTCCCATCGAGCCGAATCGCGCCGATGCTGCACATGTTGTCAAAATGCTAGCGAGACGTTTGAGGCTTTTGAGTCGTCGGTGAATGGAAAGCTCGTCCGTCGGCTGCCGACGAGCGCAGCTCGGAGCGGAGAACAGTTTATGACTTTAATCCCTGCAGGGCATCCTCTGCATGCAAACTCCCCGCGCCATACTCGACGAACGCACATCGAGAGGCATGCCTGGAGAGGACAGATAATCCCGTCGGAGTGGCAGTGCGGCTCGGACACAGTTGTCCGGCTGCTCCGGCGATCTATTACGAATTGTCGTCACCAGCCACTGATTTCCTTGTCGGCAATCAGTTACGCATCGGACATGCAACGTGGCCATTCATTTACAAGGGAATAGTTTTGGCGGTATCAAGACGCCGAAGTCAGCCGAGTTTTGGGTTCTCGCCGACGATCTGCGGACTGGGAAACCAAATCCGATGGGACTGCGGAGCAGGCTCAAAAAAATGTCCCTCTCCGAAACGCCGATCGAAATAATCGGGATGTTGGGAATCTCCGGCATCTTTCCACCAGTTCTCACTCCGCAACAAGAGCGGAATTTTCGCTCTTTTCAGATCGCTCCAGTCCAAGAGAACTCCACGCGCTGCTTATACGCGTGATACTGGCTCACACCGGGAAGCGGGTCAGGCTCTCGAAGACTCACTGACCGACATTGTCCCTCAGCCGTCATGCATAAAAATCGCCCACAAACACATGGAGCTGCGCGGGAAAAGCTGCGTTCGCTAAAAACCTAGCCCCGGACAGCAACAGATACGACATCGCGGAGGAGTCCGCGTGGGCATTCCACTCTGGATATGAGATGACGTCCTATTCCTTCCCTCCGCGCGCCCATATCTGGTTGGGGTTGGGATGCACCTGTCCTCCGAAACCCGTTCCATGGGGGGGACATTCTTGAGAGGAAGCGATTGAATCAAGGGGGTGGGCGACGATTGGTTCGAAGGCTTTTTGACGATGCTTGCCGGACGAGCGCGGCGAGGAAAATTCTACCACTTCATCAATTGACCCGGAAGAAGACTGAAGTTCGAAAGGCTTGTTCCCTAACGATTGTGTCCGATAAGGTGGCAGCGGTTCAGGCACTTACCATCGGCAGAGACCCATGTGAGTGTTATGGGAGCGTCTCCGGCGGCCTCGCATGTCAACTCGGCTCCGCTTGAATTTGAAAACTCCACCCAAAACGGAGGTTCCGCAGAGAACCTCGGTCCTGTACTGTCGCCACCGGTCACCACGGCATTGTTCCCGGCGGTAACTCCTGGAAATAAAGAGAAACGATGCTTGTCTTAGATTTTAGTCGCCCTCGCCATTCTCCGTCCTCATGTCGTTTCTGTCCCGCTAAAGCTACGCACTAGAATTGATTGATCGGATGACTGACTCAGTGTCGGGCAGCAATTAGGTCCGCCAGTTGCCTCAGTTTAAGTTTCTATCACTTTCTCGATACTGGACGATATGGTCCGTAGCGTTCGCTGTCTGCATGTCCACAATCAGCGGAGAGATATTTTCCCTGGATCGGAACATAATTTTTTCCATGCGATAGACAGCGCGCGTTTTTTCCCTCGGATTTCTTCGGGGGACTTCGGGGATCGAGGACCCGAAGAGAATGACGCGGTTCCCCGATGCGTTCAGCATTGCGAAAAAAGGTTTTGGCGATAGCGCCTTAAAGCTGCAGCCAGCCGTCCCCCTCCGTATGCCACAGCCACTAGCCTGTGACCGAAGGGGAAATGACCGTGGCGGCATACCGACCGACCGCATCGGAAGGTCACCACGAACACAGTTTTTCTCTTTGGCTCTGACGATCGCTCGAGCCACGGAGCGACATTCCGCAAACATCGACTCCTACGCATTCTTGAATTTCTCTTCTGCTCGAATCCAATCTTGTTCAAGAAAGAAACGCGAGTCCTTTATGGCTTTTCCAATATGGATCTCGTCGCGCGGTTTCGACGCTCCGCGATAGTGCGTGGAGGAGCGAGAGCTCCTTCTCACCGGGGACGAACCACGCCGTTTCTCAAAATAAATTCGCCAAACTGGATTCTACGTCTGGAATTCAAGCGAGGCGTCGAAGAACTGATGGTAATCTTGAAGGAAGAGCTCGAGGCTCCGAACTATTATTCTGCAAGTCCGTCCCGAAAATTTTGTGAGGGCAACGTCATTGTCTCCCCGCCGCGGTTGGCTTCCGCCGACTTCAGTCATCCGGGCATCGAATGTTCCTGATTTTATCTTGGCAAACCAGTCAGGTCGAAGGGTCTTATCTCGATATTTCAATGCTATTCCTCGCAGCTTCATTATTTTAATCTTGTTTCGCAGACACTTCCGACATGAGTCCCTTTCTTGTCTTTTTCCGGCACAGGTGGAGCATTTCCTTAAGGTCGTCGCGTCAGCCGAGGAAATCTCCGTCCAGCGCCTTTGATTACGGTAGCTAAAGCATACCTACCTAATTGTCCATAACTCTCGTACATACAGAGAGATTGAGTAATTCTCGTAAAAGAAGCGATAATGGCTGCTCGCAAGGGTTGTAACTCATGAGTGCGGGAGCCGTCTGGCGAGCAGGCTGCTGCGAGGGCCGAAAGTGCACTTGTTCGAAGTTTGACGGGACATGATTTCGAGTTTTATGACTCGGCCAGTGACCAGCGCTTCTGCCTGGTGATGTTCCTTCCTCGTTCTCGAGCATGGTTCAAATGAACTCCTTATGAATGAACTCCTCCGATAATTTCTCGTCGATTTCACCGACTCTCACTGTTCTATATCTCCGACGACGGTTGCGAGATTTCGCATGACATTTCAGAGGGTCGGGGAGATAGAACAACCAGATGGGTACGTGGGCGAACGGGGGGGAAGTCTCGATGCATAGGAAACGAATCGATCTATTGGGAACAACACAAGGTATGTCCCGGAAGAGATCTCCCTGAAGGAAGAACATACATCACGGGGAACATCGGAATGACCTGTCTCGTCGTGCAGGGACCGATGCGAGCCGAGCTATCCCCTTGCTCGTTGGACCGAGCTATCCGAATCCAGCGAGCACGCCAAACGAGTCGAGAAGAGCTGCTCAGCAGCGCTAGACCTCTCCGGTATCTGAGTCGGGCTCGGCGAGTCCGTTGACGAATTTTCCTTCGGTGGCCGCCGAAAGCCATCGAGGGAAGTCCCGGCACCGCCCGATACCACGGAGGAAATCCGAGTCGGAGTTCGGATTCCTCCAATTTTCAGCCGAGCTCGGCGTCTTAGTCGCCGAAACCCCAGGACTCGGCGCATAATGCAACAGCAGGCGCAGAGTTTTTCTCCTTCTGTCGTCCCCTTCCGTTACGTGCGGGAAGTGATATTATTCACTTGGTTGTAGATACATGAGATGAATATTCGCTCCGGAACAAGCCGAGTCTCATATAGGTAGCGGTCGGTAGCGTGGCTCATAACCATCCTGAGTTCCAACGATTTCGCGTGGATATTCGTCGCTACCCCCACTCGGTGAGGAACACCGCCATTATTCTCCACACGGCCAGTCAGAATCAGATGTGATATGACTAATGACACGACTTTCGGACTAACGACGCTCGCTTCTACTTCGAAATATACGACACATCATACATTCATCAGGACTATACATGTTGATGAGATCGATGAGATGAGCAGTGATGATTCGTTTTGATGAAAAATACCCGCCGGCTAAGGGTGGGACCGCGCTGCCGTGAACAACCTCTTCTCACGCAACAAAGTCTTTTGCGTCACGGAGTCAAAACCCATCCGGGTTAGGTAGTCCTCAGAAAGCGCCGAGACTTCTTCGAAGCTCTTCGTTGGAACGTCGCGACGTCGACTAGTCGAGTGAGAGCCACGAATTTTCCCTTCCGGGAACTGATGCAAATATCGCGGGAGCGGTTTTTCGACAGCTTTTAAGAGAACAAGTTTTTGGTTTGAACATCTCTCAGCTCAGCGGTTTTGAGGCGCTTTCCAGACTCTCACCCTACGATGGATGAACGCAGATAGCAGAGCGAGAACTATTCAGCCTCGCTCAGAGCTTATCGGGTGAGAATATCCCTCCAGGTTCTTCGAGGGTAGAGAAGGAACCTATCGATTCGTTGATTCTCCAGCCTCACCACTCCAGCAGCTTTCGGAGCAGAAGACAGAGGAGTGAGAGAGGAGGAGTACGTGGAGGAGTTTGTGTCTAAGCTATTAGAGGCTTGTTCCTTGTTTTATATTTTTTCGCCTCATTGCTGCAGAGCCCGGTGCGGCGTCGGATGAAGCTTTGCGATGGGCCAGCAGGCGATGCACAGACGACCGCTAAAGGGTTCGCGAGGGAATGAAAACAGGGTTTGGCGCGGGGTCCCGGAGCCGACGGAAGTCAAAAGGAAAACCCAGATTCGATGGAGACGACGCCACCGCCGGCCCGGTCGCAGACGGAATAGAATGCTACTCGATCCGTTTCTGCTCAGATGGCTCCTGCGTCGGGCGGTGGGTCGTTCGGTAGACGATTCCATCGGTGGCGAAATCGTCTCCGGCGGCGGAACACTTCGGGTCGAGACGCCGTTTGTTGGCGTCGCTCGGCGGCACTGGATACACGGAGGAATCGGATTGCGGAAGAGACAAACAAGATAGTGGAAATGCTCGAGAGGCAAAAAGCTTGAATGACAGAGAAACACACGGGGACGATGGAGGTGGGGCTGTCCCGGAACAACGGGACTCGAGCGAAAAAATCGTAGCCGAAGGCGTGGTTTGCTTTGACTCCTGCAATGCGCTCGGTTGTGTTCTGGCTTTAGCCCGCCGTGTCTGCCCGCTTCACTGGTCGCTTGCTCAGTCGCCCGCTTCGCTTATTTCTTGGTGTATAGAATCACCGTCTGTTCAACCACCGCAACGTTGGCTAACATTGAACGAAACTCGGCCGACAGACTGTCACTAGGAGCGGCCGATCCCAACAACGACAGCCAGCCGCGCATCGGGGACGTAGAACAGACGTTTATGAACAACTCACACACCGGACCACTTACGTATCCAGTCGTCTATTGAGTGACAGAAGCAATGCAAGCGGACACAGAAACCGATGGACTTTTTTCCCTGCTCCATTGGAAACGTGTTCAATCGAATCTCTGGATAATGGAAGATGAGCAGTCTTGACAGCTGCCGGAGGAACACTTCCCGAGAAGACAGCATTCCACGCCATTGTCTGGTCGCGACGAATTCGCGCAGACATCGATCTCAATGTCGGACTCCTCACAGCATTTTCCAGCCCCTCCTCCACGACACAGGAGGATTCTTGTGTCCGGGTTTTTGGTGTTTCCACTCGGACCTCTCGGTCGATGAGAATAGCGAAATACCGAGCAAAGTTGCGATTCGGTACGAGCGACAGCGAGGATGAGAACGAGCGCGTGCTCGTTACCCAAAGGCCCGGGGAGCATTGAGAGAAAAGGAGCTACGAAAAGACGACACGGAGGAGTTCTCGCGAAGATGGCCAATCAGTCAAAAGGGGCTGACATCTGAGAACTATCCGATATTTTACTCGACGCGGCAGTAGCTTCGCCGGCACGACCCCTTCTGCGCCTCGCCCGCCTCGGCGAGGACTCCTGTTACTGCGATCGACGACGTTGACGACGGCGGGAGCGGTGGTGATGACGACGACGACGACGGAGATTCAAGTCGACGAAAGCCGAGAAATTGGGGGATTGTAGGTGAGGAAGTGGGCGGGAAGAGGAGCAGGAGTTGGACGAGGAGCGGCAGGAGAGAGAACGAATTCGACTCGATTGGATGGGATGGATGACACCAAGTTGTCACACACAAAGTCGACGTCGAGGAACACGAACACTTTGTTCGTGTCAACTGTCCTCGTATTCCTCTCCCGTCCTCCGTTCATTGTTCCTCCTCACCTCCTCTCGTGTTCGGCACTGCTCGGATCTAGTTTCTTTTTCCCCGTGCTCCCCAGGCATTGGAGTACCGATGACGAACAGTCGTTGATTGTTAATTGATTTAGACTCGGAGCTTTGGGGATCGTAAAGCGCGAGGATTCTGCGCAGGGAATCTGGCTCGGCTCTTCTGAAATATGAGCGTGAATATTTCATGAGCATTCACGCAAGTTCGGGTCGGCGCCTCGACAGGGAACAAATCTGCTCGTGCCCATCACTCGTCGGCGTCAGAGAGAACTATAATGACGTCCGCGACGACGTCCGGGCCAGCCTGGATCGGCGATTCGCTATGCCGGACTGCGACTTCCAGTGCGGATCTCGTATGCTGTCGACGTCAATGGATCGTAACCGAGCAGCCGAACTGGCAAACCAGTAAAATAAGACAGGAGAGAGCTCGTTCGATGGCTCCGGCTCGATGTGTCGACTAGATCTGGACTCAAGGGCGTTTGATGGGCTCCCTACCGTCACGCCTCGAGCTGACTGAGTATAATTTGAGGAAGCGGCAGGAGCCGACGTCGATTCTCGGGAATATTCCTCATTCCTCCGGAGCTCTCTCCGCTCAGCGCTCTGAACACGTTCGGAGTCCTTTCCCTG